AGCTAGTTATTCTTCAAACTCTATAAGACTATAAAAGTTAAATATATATAGTACGTGGTATCACTGTTACGGTTTGAGATAAAATAATTTTAGTTTTATAATTTAAAGGACAAGTTTAGACTAGTGAATGTATAGTTTGTCTATGATTATTATAAAGACAAATTTTTGAATTTTGTAATTGTAAGTTCAAAAATTAACCTGGCCCAACAATATAAAGCAGTACAGTAACATGGAGTACAGCTGTACAGAGTAAGATGACAAGGTTGCATACAAAACTAAATTGGTGCTCAATAATTCCACAATGATATAAATCCAGACACTTCGTGGTACGTTTTAAGAAGAAAGTACATAAACTATAAAAGGTTTTACACTTAAAATTGACTATTCTATGTTTATATAATGAAATTGTCATTCTGGGAAGTGAGATGCAGAGATGGTAAGGTGTTAGGCTCTTTGGGTGAGTATGACAATGAGACTTTTAATTTGAACTTGAGTTTTCTCGATTAAATTTTGTCAATGAAACACAATATACCATGCAAAATGATTTTCTAAATAAATTAGGTCTCAATCAACACCCCATAAATCTCAATGGCTTTGTCAATCGTGAATCGTATAATAGGAAGCAATTTAATTCATGTCAGTGAACTAGCTAGTTTAAGCTTGGTTATTAAGTGAAATTGACAATTATATTAATATTCCAAGAAAATTAAACAACCAATGAATTACCTCTAACAATGCATGTAGAGAGTAAAGTAGATGTATCATACATTTGTACACAACAGTTCAATGACTGATACCCTAAGCGATACATAAAAGTCAACTATATAGATAATTGACTTTTTTTATAAGGAAAATGTGTCTTATCAGACTGAAACCTCTCAATGGTCAAACTAGTCCGGTTTAGCGGGCACAACCTCTTGAGAAGGGGAAGGGAGAGAGATGGGAAAATATGGAAATCCCCACCCCAAATTAACCTAGCTTAGTGGCCCGAAGATTAGTCTCAGGCCATAAGGTTTCAAGATACAATCTTTATCAGTAAAGCAAATACAGAAAACGTAGTATTAGTTGACATTTTGTCATCCAACATAAATAAATGATGTTGTATGGTACACCATACACTTTGTATATATATACTGGTTGACATTATTTGTTATACATGGATTAATTAATCAAGAGTTAAATAATTTCATTCCCATCCGCCTGGTTATGTTCTTAATGACATAGACGTGCTGAAGGTGAAGGTGTTGATGGGAGCATGATTAGCATTAGCAATAGGCAGTCGTTAATTAGGGTGTATACGTCTTCGTCAAAAGTCGACAAGTCTTATAATTTTCATTTTCCATGAACAATTTATTTAATTTACTTTTCGTATTGTACAAAATCTTCTAGCAATACGTTAGATCATATTTAATTTGTAATATTTGTATTGCTAGTCACCGTCAATACAACTTTAGAATAACGTACCACGATACAATTGGGGTAAATTGAATCTAGGCTTAATTAATTTACTAATTTTGTGTATTAGGAGGGCGGTCGTATGTACAAAATTATAAATTCAATTATAGACTAATTATAAAGGGCCCAAATATATACCTGTATGAGGAAAGATATTCTATGATGTTCACAATTCGATCTTATATAGTATAGTGAGATGTTATCTAAGAGAATCAAATGATTTGAAGAGAGATTTGGCAAAGTCCAATATTTGTGTTTCGTGTTTATTTGCTGATTGAAGAGATATTTGGAATCAGTGTTTTTTTTTTTTTTTTTCAAAAGGTTTAGAATAGAATAAAGAAGAAAAATGTATCTAAAAGCTTACATTTACGAAATAAAGCACTTCAACAATAAATCTTGTTGATTTTTATACGTCATGTCATGTTAATGTATACTTTCTTTTCAAAAACAATCTTCCAGATATAATATACTTCTACATCTACAATCAAATACTAGTAACTTATAAGTATCAACTTAGGATTCTCAATCACATTCAGGGGTGAAGCCAGGATTATAAAGGGGGGTATTATTATCTTATTTATGGCATGATACTACTATGTCATACGCTACACTTAGCAACATTCCTAAGATGTTTAATAAATATACAAAATGTTATGGAGGCCAAGAGTAAATTTAATAGACACAAAGTTGGGTTGCGGGGTCTCCACTCTCCACCCCCCCTCCCCCACACCGTGGCTTCGCCATGATCACATTTATACTTTGAACTTGCTGCTAGTTTATCATTAGGTCAAAACAAAATTGTGAAAGATAAGTTTGATCTAATTTGACTTATTTTAGACAACATAAGTTTAAATAAATTAAGACAAAATAAGTTTTCTTTTTTGAAAAAAAATTAGACAAAAATCACACACACATGTAATTATTACATAATTTTTCTTAAGAAAAAAATATAGGTTCACACAAATTTAAAGAATTTCAGACAAATTAAGAATTTAAGATGAACCAATAGAGCCTACTTGAATTGGCTGTTTTGAATCTCATCATGTAAATCTTGCCTTGTGAACTGTGCATGACCGTTGTGTAATGATCATAGTGAATTATACACACTACAAAGAATTACAAATTTTAATTACAAAAAAAAAAAAAAAAAAAAAAAGAAGATGTATGTTAGGTTGAGATACATGAATGGTTTCCATATGTAATGCTTACCCAATAAATTATTCTCTATTTAAAAAAAAAAAAAAAAAAAAAAAAAACTTATATCAATTGGTAATCTGGTAAATTTGAGTTCAAATAGAGTGGATTGTTTTGGGCTAGGCCTATATTATGGTTAAAACAAATTAAAAGTACAAAATTAAAAATTAAAAAAATCTTAGACTAAATTAAATAAATTTCGTGGAATTATGAATTAAATTTAGGTTGGATCTAAACCTAAAATTGAACCTAAGTGCTAAGTTAATGGGATAATTAACTCATGATCAAGTCCGATCCATGTTTAACTAATAAGTCGTAATTTGATATGTTATACCATAATTTGTAAGATTATCTCCCTTTCCCGCTGTCTATTCCACTAAGTTTCTTACTAATTAATATTATGTTTCAACTCAAACGACATATTTCGTTCAATACCTAATTAGGTACATAAAACAAAAGCACTATCCTCACATATTGGTGAATTTAGTTGTTAAACTTCCTAGTTAAGGAGACAATGAAATCTATGTTTTTTTTTTTTTTTTTTTAAGGAAAAATCTATGCTTGTTTAATGTTTTGAGAAGGCAGCAGAGTAACTTTTTTTTTTTTTTTTTTTTTTTTTTTTTTGTAAAAGAAACAAGCACATACATACGGAGTATGTTTTATTAATTCAAACCTTGTGGAAAAGAGTCCATACAAACACAAGTATGCTTTAAGCTAATATGTGTATCTCTCACCTTCTGAAGGTAACACAACAGCTTATTCTTATATACATATTTTTTCTACGGAGTAAATATTACAACAAATTAGTAACTTGTCTAAAACATTTATAAATACCGACTATAATGCAACTTTGTTAGTTTCACAATTAATTTTTACTCGTAAATTGCAGTATTAATTAATTACTTAAATAACTACTCCCTCCGTCCTAAAAAGAACGATCCATTTGGCCAAAACTTTGTCCCAAAAAGAATGACCCATTTGTATTAAAACACCACCAATTTGCAACAATATTTGTGCAAAATTAGCTTCCCTATATAAAAATTTGATTTTCCATGTTATTTTATTATTTTCTTTCTCTATTTTTTTTACAAACCCCATGTAAATTTATCTTTCCAATATACTTTTACTTCTTTTTACTTAACTTCCTTAATACCTGCGTAATCAACCCAAATGGGGTTGTTCTTTTTGGGACGGAGGGAGTAGAAAAAACCAACTAAGATGGCAGCTAGTCAAAAATTTGGTCGGATGAATGACTAAGATTGAGCACTAGGCTCTAGTTGCAAAAGTTGCAACATTACCCGAAAAAGAAAGAGTGAAGTCTTTTTACCGGTTTACAGTACTTAATAACAAAACAAATCCGTAGTTACTACTTGTAATTAGTTGTAAAAACATTGGACCAAGTCAAAACTAAAAAAAAAAAAAGCTAAAAGCAAGGACCACTTTTAAATTTTAAAATTTATTCGGGTTAAATATGAGTCTTAGTTGTGAAGTAAACGGGTATAAAAGTAAAATCGGGTCCCACTCTTTTACTTCCTCACTTTCGTCAACTACTGCATTGTGGTGTATGATCCGGGTACACGTTCTACTTCTTTTAGGGTTTCCTCCTTTTTATTTCATTTTTTACAAAATTTAAAAAAAAAAAAAAATGTTTCCTCCGTTTTTTGTAAGTTACGGAGTACTCGTATTAGTTAATTACCTACTCCGCATTTAAGTTTTTCTAAAATGAAAATTTCAGATTAGTTGTATAATTATTATTTTTAATTAATACGAGTAAATTTTATTTTATTTTATTTTTTTGAATATCTCATCTTAAAAATTGTCTAATAATCAGAAATTTATAAAGCTTAGGAAAAAAAAATTAATTAGTTGTTGGTATAGCAGTGATTGGGAATTTGAGATTACACTTGGTAAGGAAGACCGCGTATTCGATTCCCACAATATCAATTGAGAGGAGACTGAAACTAATCAATCAAAACTAATTTCCGAATTCGGATTAGCCCAAATAATAAATTGGGTGAAATACCCAAAGAATCTATCTATACTATATAATAAAGTAATCACCTAATACTTCGTAAAATAAAACTTGAAAAAAAATAAGGAATGATATGTAAATTTATTTTTACAAAAAAAATAAATAAATTACGGCCCATTTACAGCTATGTGTATACAGATGGGCCGACGCAAATATATTTCCAAAAAAATGAAGATATTATAGACACAATTCCAGACCACATAATCTGAAAATACCCAAATCACATAGATATCACGCGCTTCTTAACAGCGTCATAACCTTCCTTTTTATAGGATTCTCTCATATTATTTTTTTTTTAAAAAAATTATAAATAATGAAAGTAAAAATTAAAATAAAGGCCCACAAACAGATTTTACAAATAGCAGTCGCACCCCACTTCGCCCACTCTTCCCCTTATTTCTCTCCCATATTCCCCCCAACATCAACTTCCTCCACTCCTCCTTCATCTTCTTCCCTCCTTGTTCATATAAATATATAATCCTTTCTATTTTATCTTCAAAAATCAGCATAATCTGTTGTTTTTGAGTTTTTATCTCTCTCCTTTTATCTTTGAAACATTTGCCGCCTTTTCGTTGAAGTTATGGCGGAAGATTTGGATGATGGTGAGTTCTGGCTTCCTTCGCATTTTCTCACCGACGATGATATTCTCATGGATTTTGATTTCTCCGCTCCTAAAGTACCCAACTCGGGTTTGGGTTTTGTTGGTTACGGGTCATCATCTTCTAACTCGAATTCGGATTTGGAGTTAACTTCTGGTTGTACCGAAACCGAGAGCGACGAAGAGGATATTTTACTTTCCGGGTTGACCCGGAAGATTGCTCGCGTCGACCTACAAGATTCTTCGTGTCCTGTTCACTCTAAGGTCCGCCTCCAAGATTTTCTCCCCTTTTTTCTGTTTTTTAGTTATGTTTTTGAATTTTGAATTTTATTTTTTGAACTATTATTTAATATTATTTTTAAAAATTAACAGGGGTATGTGCTGTCAAGTTCGCCGCAATCGACGCTATGTGGGTGTTTTTGCAACCATGGTTCAAGCCGGGAAAGCCTATCGCCGCCGCAACCGCCGCCGCAAAACAACGACAAAAGCGACGACAACAACAAAGAAAACAGCAACAACGCAACATTAGATCTGCTAAATAAGGCGGCGGGGGAGGTGGCTAGATTGAAGATGAAGACTGAAAAAAGTACCGGAACTGGATTCTTCGATTGCAGTCAAAAAGAAGTTTTATACCCTTCTCCTCTTAGGAATCCTGACCACTTTCCTCCCATTTATTACCAACCTCAATTCCACCATTTTCCTCCGGTAGATTCATTCATTTCAAACTTAATTCTTATTATTTATTCTTATAATTAAATTAATTAATTTTAAGGAGAATGAAACGTTTATTAATTAGGGCTTATGATTGTGATTACAGATGGTGTGGGCGCCGTCAAATGGTGTGCAGTATAATCAGGCAAAGCAGCAACCGTTGCCGCAAAACAGAGCAACCAATAACAACAAGAGCAACAATAAGAGCAACGGTAACAACAACAGCAATCGTCCTTTAGGGCTGCCGCCATCTGCTTGGCCTACTCTGCAACAAGTGCAGGCCCAAAATCAGGCCCATCCGATGCCGCCTCAACCCATGTTTGTTGGGCCCAAGAGGGAATGTAACGGCACCGGTGTTTTCTTACCCCGTAGCGTTACCACCACCCCTTCCGTACCCCGCAAAAAAGCTGGTATATAATCTTTTTTCGTTCATGTATTATTTGCCCCTCTTTTTTTTTTAATTATTTAATTCAAATTTGTTATTTGTTTGTCCTTGTGTTATTGGTTCAATATGAAGTGTCTAACTGTCTATTAGTATAAAATTACCATAAGTTAATAAACCCTTGACAGATCTTGATATCCACGTAATAAAATCAACCCCAACATGTGTGGTGTAGATTGTTACTCGTATACGGGTATTTGAGGTAAAATGAAGGTACGAGGTAACATAGTTTGTCTAAAAATTTGCAAGTCCGGTCTAGATCTGAATATTATTCTGTATCCTAAGTAGATGGTGGAGTGGTTCAATTAATTGCGGCTGTGCCTAAATTTCCAATAAAGTTAATAAGGTGTTGGTTAACTTTTGGTGGGATAAGTTGAACTGTCTTACAAAATGATGCAAACTGGAAATAGAGAGTGGTCCATGTTTAAAGTAGGAGTACTGAAAACAATTTGTTGACAGTTGCAATTTGATTTATTTTGTAATAATACTAATCAAATCTGATGTGTTTTTGTTGTTGTAGATGGGAATGCAACAAAGTCGTCTAAGACGGGAAAAGGTTCACAATCACAGTCGAGCAACCGACGAAACGCTAGTGCTACAACCACCCCAACGGCAAGTAATAATGACATCCAGCTGCCTCAGGAGTGGACTTATTAACACCACCCGCGTTGGGTGTTTTCGAATGTTTGTTTCATCGGTAGATGTGGTAGATGATGACGACAACGACGACAAAGACGACTAGAAGTGATGAAAGGATTAGCAAAATTTAGGATTAGTAATATATAGACTAATAGATATGATGCGTGAAGAAAAATAAGAATTTTGAATAACTACAGGATTTGGTGATCAGGTATTTCTGGTCTCCAATGATAAAATAAAACTTATAGGAAATATTATTATTAATAATAATTATAATTATTAAGTTTAACTTCATGGGTTGGTGTTTTCTTGTATCCCACGGAGTTTGTCAGCATAATAAGATCGCAAGGTCTATTTTTTATTTTTCTTTCTTTTATTGGTGATTTTTAATTACCAGTTATAAAAAATCTAGTGGTAGTGCTATAGTGGTGGTGTTGTATCCATAGTGTTACAATTTTTTTTGTTCGGGGGTTTGTGTTTGATTTTGTGTCAATTTGATATTTTGATGTATAACCTTGCCGCGGAAAGTGTGGATGGGCAAAATCAATAAAAACTGCTACTACTGCTTTTGTGATAATAATATTGTACCTATTTTACTTTCAATGTCTCAACTACTAATGTCCCAACTCCCGTTTTAGGTTTTTTTTTCCTTCAATGTTACTCGTACTTGTATGAGTGTATCAAGTGAAACAGCTTGATTTTTATTTGAGTATTATTGGTGTACTCTGTTATTTTTTGACTCAATTTTATTTTCACTATGCTTTATTGGTTTTTATTTTGACTTTGTTTTGTGATAACAAAAGTCAATTATCGTCAATATGTTGTTGTTTATGGAGTAATATAGTGAGATTTAGGGATTATAACAAACATTTATTGCCTCCATATGTTATCCTCATGAGTTTTTTCCTTTGTATCTCACAGAAAGACTAACTGAAATGTATAATTATATTATGAAGAGTTAGATTAGCTAAATAGGCAATTAAAGATATTAATAGTTGAAGTCATGTATTGACAAATGTGTCTAGTTTGCGAATTGAGTAATAATTTGGGTTGACGTAACCTTGGGGAGCGATTATGGCGGGAATTATGGAGGGTAACATGCGTGATTGCGGTGCTCAACTATCTCTGCTTTAAAAGACTATCATTGTTGGGTTGTTGTCTCTTGATGTTGCCGTCAACGGTCGATTCAACGGTTCAAGAAATTAGGTTTTGGGGGCTTAACAAACAACTGTTTTTATTTATTTTATTTTATTCACATTATTACCTTTTATTTTAAAACAATATCAAGTGGGTTACCAAATTTACTACTCTGCATAGATTATGATGGTCAATTGTGTAGATGAAAGTTTAGGGTTTAGTTCAACTACGAGTTATCTTTCTCTAGGCTGGCACTCTATTCAATTGTGTCCTGTTTTGCTGTCATTGTTTGATGCTCGTGCAATATTTTAACGAAGTGTATGTTTTGGAAGATTGTTAGTTTATTTCTACCAAACTATTGTGTACATGATGTACTACTCCCTTCGTTGGTCGGCCCATATGTCGGTCTGTTTTTTTAATAATGCTCTGTTTCTCACATTTCGCTAATAAAATTGAGACAAAGGAAGTACTTCGTATGTGCTATCTTGTACGAGTAACCATGTTAGGATGTGCGAGCTCTACCATTTGTTTTCGTTGGGCTTTCATTTGAAAGGTCTGAAAACACCAAAATGAAAAGAAATGATCACACACACACTTCGTGATATTTTGATGTACAAAATAAACACCGAAAAGGATAAAAAGGGAAAGAAAATTCTAAGGGTATGTGTAAGTAAGAGGAGCATTGATTGGAAGGAATGAGCTGGAGCGTCAGAAGAAAGGGCCCACGCATTTGGTCGGTTATGTGCATACGTGGCAAAAGAACAGCTGTAGTACCACTTGAATCTTTTGTAACTTTTTCATTAAATGGGAAAATCCCTTTGCTGAATCTTGGAACTTGACCGGAAGCCACACCCAAATGAACCTGTACCTTTAAAAAAAATATAAATAAATAAATAATACTCCGTAATAAAACAAGAGTACAGTGTATACATAAAATGCCGTACATATATTCTCCGTTCCCATAATACTATTACTACATCCGTTAACTTTTAGTTATAACTTTAGAATATTTTATGCATTACTCCGTACCTCGTAAATAATAGCCCAAAGTTACAATTAAAAGATGACTATATAGCCATTTAAGCTAATGATCAACTATGTTTTTAGGGTAATGTTATATGTAACCCTAAGAGTTATATATAAGCATTAAATATACTCTTGGAAATTGTATAAAATTAGGAATTTATGACAAAAACACGCGTAAATCAGTGTTATTAGAGTTTATATTTTGATGATTTCTTAACTTTTTACAATTTTCAAGTGTAAATTTAATGCTTATATGTAGTCCTTATAACATTTTCCTTATTGAAAAAAGTAGAGAAAAAATATTGGAAAATAATCTCAAAAGTACATAAATATAAAATAAAAATGAGAGTAACTAATAAAAAGAATGTAATTTTGTCAAAAAGTACACTCTCTAAATAGAATTAGGCCACTAATTTTGACTAATCAAAAATGGAATGCATACCACTAAATAAGTTACGGAGGGAGTATTTGTAAAGCGAAAGAATAATATATATAAGTGGCGCGTGGCTTACAGTAAATGACTGATTGTGAGTAGCTGTGATTTGTGAAACATGACAGTTAAGGTTTTTTGTAAGTTTACCGTGATTAGTCATCGGCGTATATGTTTTATTTTGATAATCAACGTAAATTGCACGGTGTAAAGTGGTAAAGCTTATATAGTTGAGTCAGTCCAAGATTCTCCCTTAAAATTTGTGCCTATTCCTTAGAAAATATTCAACTAATGTCTACAGAATTTCTGCTATCACATCACAATTACTCCGTATTATTTAAGTTAATTTACGCTAGCTATAAAACATTATAGGAGAATCAGATAATTATGGCACCCCAAGACTTGAAGCTAGAAATCGACTGTATAAATAGAACTTAAATAATTATTAAGATTCGCATGCATGTACTGATCGTTAAACACCAGCTAACAAAACTCAAATACCAAAGTTAAATTAAGTGATAAACACCATTGCAATACAAATATCTAACAATAAAATCTAAGTTATTTTCATTTAACTTTACCTTTTGTAGGTTCGTGAATCATTAAATTATTAAAATATGTGAGTGTGTGGGCATAAGAAAATAGAGTAAAAGGTTAAATAAAGCAGAAAAGAGAGATATATGTACTCAGTAAATATATATTGTACTCTGTAGGGTATGATAAATAATACTATAAATAGAATAAAATACCTCTTATAAATATTACTCGTATAAGATAGGTCATTATACAAGATAGGTTTGGACTTTATCAGACCATATCAAGCTGAACCTAAGACAATACATCTAGGTGTATAATAGACGGGTCAAGAAGCAATCTACCTCCGTCTTTTCGGGAGGAGTTTAATTTCAAGAGGTTCTTGACAAGTTGACATGTCATGGCTCCAGAATTGACAACATAACTACCGGTGCCGCATAGTGTTGCTAAGAATAGATTTCGGTGGTAAAGCTTAGCCATTGTATGCATAAATCTAGGCCTCAATGAATGCCGCCATTTGTGGTCCGTTCGTTACTCAAGCATTTAGCTATTTTCGATTATTAAATTTCCGATATTCATAAATTATGTACGTGTACTAGCTATTGTACCATGTACCTTCGTTAGGATATGCATGCATGGGACGTACTAATGCAATATTACATTGTTTCTCAATTTGTCCATTATAACGTCTCCATTCATTTTAATTAGTGTTTATAAATATATGAATTGAATATATTAAAAAATTGAGTGCTACAAGAGTGAGGGTTAAAATTGTAAATTTAACATCAAGTAATGAAAATGAGTGATGTGATATAACTATAAGTGTGTAATGGTGTATAAAGACACATAAATGGGGTAGGGGGATTCAATTTGAGATTGAGCTTTTAATTAAGCTAATACCATATTAGTGCTTTGTATAATTTCAATAATATAGTAGTTGACATGAAAAAAAAAAAGTTGATTTTTTTTTTACTCTATTAAAGTTTGTAGCTAGTTACAAACATGGATTATACGTAATATTTTCGCCTTATTTCAATAATATTCAAAGTATTTAGACCTATTCATATTATTTATATCATCAAACCAAATCAGAAAATCAAAACAAGTTTGATCAAAGTTCAATCTAAACAAGATATATGATCGACAAACCAATACTTTTGTAATATCCATTTATTCCCCATTATCTTAATATATGGGAATAAATTAATTTAATACTCCTTATTAGCTTCAAAATGATACCACATCAATAATCAATAATACTCTTTAAAAAATGTATTTACTTAGGAGTTGATCTCTTCATATAATTTACTTCGTAATAATTATTATAACTTGTTTTAGTATTTACTCCATAGTTAAAAAATTGAGGTCTATTTGAGTATGAATTTAATTCGAATTTCATGAGTATAATTTAATATGACACAAATTAGTGTAGTTATATTTTATCGTAACAAATTTTTAACGTTTTTTTAATTATTTTTTTATTTTTAACACAGGGTATTATATATTATTAATCCAAATTATAGTTATATATGTTCAAGTCATATTTAATTGAGTCATCTACATTACATTTGGTTTACTTGAGTCAATTTCAACATGAGTGTTATATTAGGGTCTAACCAATTTTTGGTAGGGTTTGATGACTATCGAGTTTCCGACTAGGGCACCAAGTCGTGAGTAGGAATGATAAGTGAAATTCGGGTTTGATATATGGTCAAGGAGTCGATATTAGGTCATTGTAGTCGGGTCAGCGTAGGTTAGAATTAGATAGGATAGCACAAAAGCAAGAATAATGAGAGACCAAATAAAATGAGAAGTGACCAAACAAGTTGAGAAGGATAAGGATTAAGGTGATTGAATAACAAAGTAAAGAGGGGCCATGTGAAGGAGTAGTGGGAATGAAGTGGGTTGGCGCAGTAGGGCAGGACATACAATACATGAATTGAAGAATAGGAGATTTTTAATTGCATGTTTCATTGATTTGTTTTCTAAGATTTCACTGTGTCTTGTCTGGCCCCATTTCTCATCTCTTTCCCACTCTTGATTTTTCTTATTCTTGTACCCTTTTTTTAAAAAAAAAAATAAAAATAAAAAAATCTTTTGTTAATTTTGTATTATGTGTTTGTAATTGGATCTTATAATCAACTTGGTTGGTGATTAAAGAGGTTAATGAGGCCTCCACCGCGCCGTTATATGTAGGCTCATCCTTAACCTAATTGATTACTCTACATCTTTACTAAATTGAGGTTATAAGGTGTGATTCATTTGAGAATGTTATAGATTCGGAGTAATGTCTTGCCTTTAATTTTATGATATAAAAGCCAATTTGATTGTGGAGGGAGAATATCTATTTTTTTTTTTAAATTGCTACCCACCTGAAGCCTAATATCTCTTTATTATTATGTAATAATTGCTTTGGTTTGTGATTGATAAGGATGTGAGTTACTCGAGTACGATATGTTAATATTTAAACTCATCTAACTAATAGTCAAACTTGACCTATCATTCAAGCTTAAAATTATACTCCTTATTTGGAATTGTTATGATTAAGACCAATTCTAGTTCATTATAGCAAGCTTTTTAGGTATTAGTATAAATAATAATAACCATTTGTCCAACAAAACTTCTTTAAATTACTTTAATTATCCACAAACTTATAATATACACGATTTGTTTATGTTCAAGCTCAATTCAAGCTCAATTCAAAACGAGCATTCAACTTTGTTCATTTACTCCATAATAAAAACAGAATTTTGGCCAAACTCGAGTTTTTCACCAAAATTCTCCAAGGTTATATATATGAGGCAAATATTACAACCTACCACAAATGCTTGAAAGAACCACGTCAAGAAGATTAGATAGGCAAAATTTCTCCAGAGCTTTCACAGATGCAAGAATATTGAAAGTAGGGTGCTAATTGAGCGAGTTGATTGCTAGCCTGAGTTTAAGTTTCTCAAGAACTTTGACACCTTGTTATATTGATTACAAAAGTTAATTTCAAAGCGTGTAGCTCAGACTTAATTCTTCCAAAACTACGTACGATTTCACAAACATAATCTCTCAAGTTTCCTAGCCGTAGCTAAATATTCCGTCGTACATACAAAGTAGCAACTACCATATATATGTGTCGAATTCATCATAGACGTTACGTACTTGCACAACACAAATTCCCTATCTTTCTGTTTTGTTTTGTATGAATTCTAAAACGTTAAAGCCTACAATTTATCCCCGTGACATTCTTGGCACTACTGTATCGATCAACGGGACCATTGCCCCCTAGACATTGAGATAATTGATAGCAACAAATTTAATGTTGATCAATTGGGTTAATACGTACAAGATATTCATGTACGATTAAACTAATTAACATTAACAACCCTTCAAGAATTGTCGTCTTGTTAAACATGAAGGCGATATATATATAGATAGTAGTTGCATGCACTTGAGTGTACTTAGAAGAGTTAGAACAGGCGTACAACTTGTACTGTGTAACTCTCGAACATCCATTTGAATAAATTAAAATGTCATGTCGATTGCGTTACTTAAGCTAGTAATAAACCTTAAACAAATCTCACGTACAATAAATTTAATTTTCGTTATTCATTAAGAAGCAGAAGGTACTCGTAAGTCGTAACTATACAGAGTGAGTGTACATCTTCAATCTGAAGCTTGTAAGATATGCCTTCGTATCATTCAATGGCATGTCATGGTACTAATAACATAAATACTTTACATGCATGCATTAAAGCATTGTACTGCAACATGGTACAAAGTAGGTTACTGGTAATTGGATTGCCGTATTTTCTCCTTAGGAATAGTGATGGTGAGCACTCCATTGTTATCCACAGAGCTCCTCATATGCTCGGGTTTGGCATTAGGAGGTAGCGTGAACTTACTCATAAACTCTCCATAACCGCGCTCCACATGATGATAATTGTCTTTCTTTTCCTCATTCTCACGTGTCGATTTGGCACTTACATGGATCATCCTCCCGCCCTCCTCTAGTTTCACCTTCACATCCTCTTTTCTTACCCCCGAAAGCTGAGCCTTGAAGTGATGAGCCTCAGGGGTTTCCTTGTACTCAATCTTAGTCCTAGGCACCATACCTCTCATTTCCGGTAGTAGCGGCCGTGGAGGGGGCATAAGTGGTGGTGCTCGGAAGGCTTGGAAGTCGAAGGGAAAGTCATCCCAAAAGTAAAGGGAGAATGGATCAAACACTTCAAGAGGCCGGCCAAAGAAGCCGCGTTGATATGGCATCATGGATTGCATTTTATGGGGTAGGGTTTTAAAGCTTAAAACTTTGAGATCAAAATTTGATATTAAGTTGAATTTTGCATATATGCAAACTGGATTGTTGTTTGCAGCAGACAAGTAGGGTTATATATAGGGAAAAATATTGAGAAAAGGGGTTATATTAAGAATTAAATTAAAGATCATGTTTTATATGCGTTATTTGCAAGTTGTGATGGATAGTTAAGGATCTTGGCCTTGCCGTGGAACCTACCAGCACCTTCTAAGGATCGAATTTACTTTTTAGGTGTATGCTAAATGTACCATGAAATGTGGGTAATAAGATAAGGGAATAAAGGGAGAGCACCGCACTAATCGAAAAATTTAAATCCACAAAAAACTCAAAAGTCGATTCCCACCTTCGCTTTCTAAAGTCATGTTTGAGTATTGGTAGGCCGGTGGTAAGGGTTGTATTCTCTTCACCTTATGAAATAGTATACTCTGTACAATAAAATTAGTGATTTTTAACATAATTTAACTTCGATAAGTATATAATGAAACCGAAACCCGGTGTGTGTGTTTGTTTATTTTTTTCACCCTAATCAATCAACCAAACAGAAGGATATAGAAGGAACGGAGAATCACATCTATCTGATATCACTTTGTGTTAGAAGGTGGTATGTTATTTCTTCAAAAAAAAAAAAAAGAAGGTGGTATGTTATATGCACTTAAAATTTATTGTCAAAGCAGAATCAGATTCTCTCTTCTTTATTGTTTATAATCAATTCAAATTTATTTTAGTTTTTATCTTTTGTTTTTCTTGGAGAAGGTTGAGAGGGAGTTGTCTATAATTGGTTACATCTAATCTAGATGTTACGCTCAATATAAATTCAGTGAATGGGGTGAGTTGTTTATCTAACTTATATTCCAAATCAAATGTCACAGACGTGACTGCATGATGCAGGCATTAGAAAATAATAACAGATACTTCAGTTTTGCCATTATTTATTGTTAATTATACAATTATAACTTGCTAAAGATAATAAATCTATATCATTTTTATTTCGTGCCAATTATCTTAGATACTACTACAAAATCAGATATTATACTATGAGTAGTCATTAGTTGCTGACGGTAAACCTGTTCTAGTTATTTTGATTACTCGACACTGCAGCGTTCATCAGCGCGAGTTTGTTCATTATTCATCAGGAGTTACATTGCAACTTTTACTTCACAAGTAATCACAGTTTTGGTTATTCACACTTTTGGTTTTTACGATCACAATTCACCAAAGAGGAAAAAGAAAAAAAGAAAATAAAAAATCTGCTGACAAATACAGCGTAAAGCTCCAAACACGAGCAAAGAATGCATCATATTTTGGAATGCCCAATTCCAAAATTCGATAACGGACGCCCATCACACTTCAAATAAAGCCCACTTCCAAAAATCAAATACCCTATCGTATGTCCAACAACGGCTGCTATGAATATACCGCCATTGTAAGACATAACAGCCAATATGACCATGTAAGCCATCCCAGCTCGGACAGCTCGCATCCCGGTTCTAAAAAAGCAGGCTGCAACTTGGTTTGGGCCAGGTTTAATAATATGGCAATAGGCGAGGCATTCTACCAAAATGGCTAGGGAGAAGACGAACAACACAGCCACAACATACATACCAGTACTTGTACCAGGCCAGCCAGGGAACAGAATCTGATGTGGTTTGCCCCAGTAAAATGCCGTGTGGAACACCATCTTGTGGGTCCCGGTAAAAATTAAATATGATGGTGATGGGGATAGTGACGGGGATGGAATAGGGGATGGAAATGGGGACAGGGATAGTGGAGGTAGTGCAGTGAGATTGTGATGGTGAATCTGGTGATGAATGGTTTTGAAGAGATACTGCATTATAGTTTAGCACTAGCAGTATTACCTATGATGACTAGGGTTAACGGTTAGGGGTTTTATATGATCAAAGGCGGGTGATACTTGCATGACACCAGAGTGTTTCTATATATTTAATCTAATAAACTGTTGCTATGTACACTTTATTTTAAAGTAAAGGATTGCTCCTTCTAAAAGAAAAGGGTTATATAAATTACAGATTCTTATTTGCTATTTCAGCAATATATTACTCTGTATTATAAACTAATTGATCAATACGGAGTACTAATTAGTAATACCAAACAAAATCTGAATACAATAAGCCTAAAAAACTATCAAAACTACAGGTTTTTTTCTCTTTATGTATGTTTTTGTTCTTTTTCCCATTAAAATATAAAAGCAAAGGGTGAAAGCTTAAAATCAAAGACAGAATCTAAAATGTACCAGACACCAAGTAGCTTTTTCAGCAGGAAGAATTGTATCTTATGCTTGCACCGAGAGTGTGAATGTGCTTTTTCAGAAGGAAATGAGCTGCCATAAAATGTGGTATTAGAATAATGAAGTAGGGAAATAATGTCAGGAAAAGATTTGTGCTATCTCTAGACTGCAAGCAATGTATAAGTATTTTTTTTATTAATTAATTAAGAATTTAGATAAGAAATGCTAGTGTTGTAACAGTTATTCGTAGTTCTTATAAGACTTCACTCACATCATGCTTACAATATAGTAATTTACCAACCAGGACTTAACAGATACATAAATGGAATGGGAGGAGCCAACAATAACTAAAAAGGCCTTCCAGCTTCTTCCATCAGCTTCTTCACTCTTGTAAGCTTCTCTATCTGCGACAGAACCTGTTATATCACATCTAGAGGAGGTTAACACTTACTCATGGTCTATAAATCAGGGGGTGGTCAAACTTAATATGTGCAGATCAGGAGAGGGAGAGGGGGGGGGGGGGGGGAGGAGGCTAGAGTTGCTGAATAAACAAGTACACGAGAGGAGGAGGAGGAGAGGGTACCTCCAGTGCCATGTCTTCAGCAGTAACTTGTTCATATTCATCATAAGCAAGTTTGGTAGCCACTGCTGCCAAAAACAAAAACCATAGGAAATAAATGAGAAAATAAGAGTGCATAATATTTTACAACACAAGAACAAAGTGTAGTAAGTTTACTTTGCAGTGAGATAGTTGTATCCGCTGTAGCATATCCACCTTTGTTCTCTTCATAAAGCAAAGTTAACTCATCCAAAGCCTGACATAATTTTTCAGCATTGATGTTAACACAGAGGAAATACGTTTGCTTAGAAACCTGACATATGCCTGAAGCAAGAGATGCTCCTAAGAATCAAGTGATGGAAAACTCAGACCTCAGAGAAGGTATCTGGAGTAGACATAGTTGATTGTTCATCATCTCTAACAGACTCTTTTGCTATAATGTCTAAAGGAACATCTATCCATATTGTAATTCCATGTCGTAGTAGAGCCCTTCACCAATAGTCAGGAAACAATTCACAAAACCAAATATGTATTAATGACAAGTGAAATAACATGGAGTGCACAAGAGAATTACAAAGACAACCACAAATATATCCTTACAAATTAGTCATACTCTGAACCGCACCATTTCCAGCATTGACTACCAGTCGGCCCAATGATGATAATTGCTTCAACACTTCAGTCTGAGAAAAATTAATATTATAACAGCTTCTAGGGTCTTAACGGCATAACTTGAGAAACATTAATCACATTGAAGCAAAATCCCATAAAATAGGTAGAAAATGTGGCAACATAGCCACTGCTCGATGGAACAGATGGATTGTGCATTTGGTGTATCAAATTGACATATATGCTTACACAATGAGAAAGACCAGACTAATAACAACACCACCAATAGCTCATTTTGTATCCTTAGATCATGGCTAATTTCTTAGCTAACCTCCGGGGATGTTCATAGAGAGATGGAACCAGATAACTATTCAAAGTTCAAACTGAACTATAAACATGAAAAGGACCTTTAGAGACGCTCTCCACCTTCTTTAAAATTTTCTAAAGTATTGTGCGATTTCAGGCTAACTATTCAAAGTTCAAACTGAGCTATAAACATGAAAAGCCTTAAGCCCCTCTTATGGGATTAAGGCTTTGGTTGATTGATTTGATTGTGCAGTTTTTAAGAGACAAAAACAACAAATGTTAATCATGTCAATGTACTTTTACAGTGTTTTCTTCCTTCTAATTAAACTGTCCCAAAAGTGTTGTCCATACATACTGCTTACAAGTACCAAAAAATAGATTATTGAATTAATTATTGAGTGAAATTTAACTATTTTGTATTAGTAAAGTGAAAAGGGGACAGATAACTGAGTGGATTCATATAATAATAGGCAAACAATTATAGCAGAGGAAGCAAAGGCTCTTGCTATCACTAACAAAGGTCCATTAGGTTTAGATTGAGGGGAAAGGCTTTCTTTCGATCTTCCGTCCTACGGTGAATTTGTGCTTAGAATAAGGTGTGATTAGTGATTAGATGATCTGAGTCTACATGATTCAAAAATGATAGTATCAACCCTCTCCTTTTCCTTTCCTTTTATTCTTTTAAAGTGAGGGACCTAGTTGGGCTCTACTGACCAAAAAAGTCTCCTTCATGCCTTGCACTTGATGTATTCAGATACCAAGCATCTTATGTGAGCATATGGACAGTTCATATTGAGTTCACATAAGAGTTTGGGCCTGTTTAATTCAACTTAATTTTAGTTCAGTTCCTAATTTCCTTCTCTCATTAATAGTTCAGTTCAGTTCAGCTCCAATCAGTTCAGTTCATTCAGTTTAGTTCATTTAGTTCAGTTGTTTTTAGTAAATCGGAACAAGCCCTTTTTCCTATGCTTTCTAGAGGTCAACCACATTTTTCAAGGATTGGTATACTAGGCAAGGGGTTTCTTCATGTTCTACAAACTCACAGCTGATAATCCATATTTTAAGAAGGTTTCTTGACATGGGACGTACTTTTACTACTAAATCAAAAAATCAGAAATAATCCATAGATAATAAGCCATGATAGCGCAAAGACATTTAATTCTTAAACACCACGTAAGTATCCAGTTTCCCACAAGCTGCTGATGAAAAACTACCTCCGATTTTTGAAAACCATCTTCATCCCTCTCTTTAAAAGATTTGCCTGAAGAATCCTCACCAGCAGCCTCCTCAACTACATTGTCACTGAAAAATGACCACAACCGAATAAGAAACAATTTAAGTGCATCTGACTTCAATTTGCAAATGGCATATTAGTCAGAGAAGAAAAAGAAAATGAGATAACCTATCAAAGTAGTAATAGCGTAACTCATCTGCAATAAGCTTGCCCACACTGGTCTTCATTGCACTCTTCATACCTTCGCATAAAAGTATTTATACATAAGACATAGAGACCAACATATCAGAAACATGATTGAGTGTACATCATCCAAGGGGATTTTTTAAGGTGCAACTGAGGCCTACCCACGATGAATATTGACGCTCCTTTCAGGTCTGCGCATATATCTGTTGCCTTCTTCTATATTAAGACTGAAACAGTTAACAATAAGCACTGGAAATCACAAGCTAAATAATATCTTGATCATAGTTAAATTGCGAAATGATTAAGAGCACGAAAAGGAGGAATTGCACATATATAACTTACTTAGGATCAACTTCCCACCACAAAAGAGCAACTTACATCAAGACATGATTTCATATAAGATGTAAATACATACATCATGTAGAAGCTGACAGGACATTTAGCAAAACATCTAATTCTGCATCACTATCATTCAAAATCCAATATATTTTTCATAATCATTTCCAAAGGAGGTACCAAGTAGGCTAGTTAAATATAAGGTTTGACAGTTCAATATACTTCGTAATGTTTAGGAGGTCATATTATAAGTTATACTGAAGAATTGCTCTTTGTATATGATGCGAGGATTTAATTAATTAATTTTCATACAAAATGAGTTGCTGTATGTGATTTGTATATGTCCTATATGACATACATAAGACGGTATTGGTGGGCATGGTGGCAGGGAGTACTGTTGAAAATTAGCCACCAAAATGTGCATGAGTCTTAACCCAAATGGTAACAGACGCGACTTCCTTAAAGAGTGCCAATATCTGCACTCCAAGGTGTTCCAGACACCAGGCGGGATCGAGTGCACCGAGTCAAAGACATCACTTGTTTGATATAATAAAGGCAGCCACCACAGCCATACCCATCACCGGAAATTCCCAAGTGTTACATCCACCAAAACTTTCTATTATCCAAATCAATATTCCAAATTCATTGTCATATCCTAACAATGATGACTACTATCAAGTCCTAATTCACAACCCTTAATTTTATTTTATTTCCATACACAGTTTGATTGAAAATGGTTCAATATAGTAATTTGACATGAAAAAAAGTGGGTAATAAAAAAGCAATATATAGCATAATACAAGGAATTAAGGTTATAAAAGCACCTTTAATGCAAGGGATCCATGAGAAGTAGCAGGTTCGGTTGCCAAATTTCCTGAAAATAAAATTAAAAAGCATAAATACTCAAAAATGTCCAAGAAAAAGCAAAATTCAGTCTTTCAGCAAATTAAAAGCACTGTAATTTCCCCAATCTAAAATAATAATCAAAATTTTCAATTCTAATTAAAAAAAAACAGCAATTGAACAAACAATTACCATGCAATAAAAGGAAATTCGTAGAAATAGAAAAGAAAAACATAAGAAAAGAGATAAAGAAGAGTAGTAAGTAACCGTCGGCGAGTGAGCGAGCAGTGGTGAGTTGGTTCCGCCATTGATGGTAGAAAGTCGGAGGTCTGAAATGAGAAGAAGAAGAAGAAAGAGGAAAATGAAGGGATGAAGAAGTTGGTTTACTAGCAAGTGAGCTGCCCCTGCATATACACTGGATTGCTGGCCGTATCCTTATCTCCATTGCCACAAACTTTGCTCAAACGTTTTTTTTTTTTTTTTTTTTTTTTTTTTTTTACCTGAATTCCTTTTGGATATAAATTTATATTTGTATATATACTCCC